AGAGCATACAGACCAATAATAGTCAAATGTCCTCTGACTATCTTCAATCTCGTTGTTACAATCTTCTCATTGACGAATTAAGAGATAATTTTATTCTTCCATGACTCTTTGTCTAGAATTGGAACTCTGCTTGAGCCCGACAGTTTTGATTTACCCGGCTGTACATCATTTACATAATTTTCTAACTTCTTAGTTCCTTTTAATTTTATCTTTGTTTCAGTTACAACCCATATATAGGTTCAGTAACAACCCATATATTTATATTCTTCTCTTATATATAGTTCTCTCACCAGTTCAGACTCCTTCAACCGTATCCCTCTATCGTTCCAGGTGACCACAACAATGTTTCCATATTCCTAGTTTCTTGTCCTTTTTCGAGCAGTGGTTGTCAACAGAGACAGTCCGTAATCGATTTCTGTGACGCTTACGAGTAATAGTTTTTTCATACAGTTAGGGTACCAGCCTCACGCGCGACCCCCTACCTGGAGGACCGGAGGATTAGATTTTCTCTTGTCCTAGGGTGATTTTCTTCTCGACAGCAGCGTCCTCCTCCCTGTAGGGGAAAAGGTCGTACCTAGGGACACTTTTCATGTTTTAATTTTTTTCCCCCTTGTTTTCGATGTGAAATTGTTGATGCATATATTTTTGGAATGCTACAAATCTGATCACATTTATGTGTAATAATAATATTTTTAAGAACATTCTATAATATTCTTTTTGAGAAAATTGTTTGTGTACAGTGCGTGTCTACGTACGCGATGTACCTGGCCACAATGCAGGAACAGAGAAAAAATTACAAAAGAATAAATGTATGCTCTTTTCTCATAGAGAGAATCTTTAACCTAGATTATAATAAATACTGTGTAAAGAAAAAAATGCTGCCTTTAATTACAACCAAACACAGGTTGGTTCTGGAACTTACGTTCTGTCTTCTATGTCAACTTCAATGGATATAATATCATTTTTACTTTCCTGTGTACGTACACACACACACACACACACACACACACACATATATATATATATATATATATATATATATATATATACGTAGTGTAGGAAAATTTACGTAATGCTTCGAAAAATCGATTTCGAGATTTCAACGGAAATACAGGTTTTGGGACCATTGATACCAAAAAGTATTTTTTTTAAACGACCGTCCTTCCGTCTTTCTGGTGTATCTGAACAACACTAGTGCCTCATTCTGGCTTCAGCTGCGGGCCAGTGCAGTCGCTCCGCTAACAGCAGCTAGAATCGTGAAGTGTGGAAGTGCAACCCAACTTCACTCCGAACGATAGGAAAAGTGGTGACTTTGTGCTCGAAATAGTGTTCAGTGGGCATAATTATTCACTACTAGTGCTTTAGTAGTTGAATGAACAACAATGATTTATCCAGCACAGGGCGAATGGTCAGTGAAGCCCTAAATTCGTTATATCATCTAATGTGGTTACCGACGAAGGCAACGTGAATTTCACGGACAGCATGGAGTGCACCGAAATACCGCCTCAACGTCAACACAATGCAAGGAACAACATCCTATTCGGGGCCGGATCATCAGGCCAGGAGGAACGAATGCATTCACAACAGTCAGATGCTTCAACCCAACCTCATCATAACAAGGTAATGCCCCAAGGAAAGCAAGCCAGCGATAACGTTAGTGATAAGAGACCTTAAACGTGTAACCTCTGGCAGTCAGCCTCCGGCAGGGTCAAACCTACAAAGTCAATACAATGTAGAAATCAAAAACAGATTTAGTTGGCTAAACGAAGAGATCCCGGATGATCTAAGTGGCGAAAATAAAATCCCTCAAATTTTTGTTACTAATTTTAAAATTCAAGTTTCCCTCGTGAATGCAATAAAATTTAACGTCTCCTCCAACTTCACTACAAAATTCAAAGATCAAAAGATTCGAATCCAATTTCAGTTAGTTACTGACCCAAAATTTTTGACTGCCAAATATTTCCTGGCCACCAAAAAACAATTTTACACGTATTCGTATAAAATTAGTAAAAAATACTCAACATAGAACAAAAATATTTATCCTTCAATCTCAAAAAATCAAATATTATCCGAAATTAATAACAAATTCAATCCTGCTACATAAGTTACTCGACTATATAAAAAAATCCCTCATCCCAGTAGGGGCAGTAGACTTCGACGGAACTCACAAAATCGAGCATGTATTAGAAATAAAACAAATAGGCAAAAACATTGTGAAACCAGAAAGAACCCAAAGGGCCCCCTTACATGTTACCGGTGTTTAGACTTTGGACGCAGTAAAAATAATTGCAATCATACAATTTCGCCTGTGTTTTGTGCAGGTAATCGCCTATCAGCAAACTGTGAACATAAGACTATTAGGAAACCAAAAAATTAAGAAAATTTCAAACAAATGTATTTTGGGCGTCGGTAGATGGCAGCAGGCAAGAGTATTGGCAACTTTGAATAGCTAGCACAATAAAGTTTACAGATTCGTCTTTTTCTATAAATGAACTATTGCTGAAAAAGGAATTGACTTTACGATTTTTAACAATAATCAAAACGGAACTATTAATTGTTTCAGCTGGTGGTTGAGACCTTTTGTTGTTTCCTTTGCTTCATGGCACGACCAGATTATGTCCTGAAAGCAATTGAATTCAATTTAATACTGCATATCTGTACCTAGGTACGTCCTTAGTTTCAACAATTTGCAATCGTGAATGAACATGGCTACTATTAAGTGTAGGTTACCTACAGGAAATAATTATATACCTTGAATTAACTACATTCTACGCTAGTATCGTAGGTGTATGTCTACTTCAATTTTCGTAAAGTAATAGTAGTTATTACAAAATTGACGAGAGAAAATACAGAAATTTTTGCTTTTCACTGATTAAGTCTATTAAACTCTCATAAAATCACGAGGACAGGTCACTTGAACAGGCCGCGATGCAAATTTCACTAGAATAAACGCAAATGGCAATAGCAATGTAGGGAAATTAACAATTCGAAATTTGTCCCAAAGACTTCTCTAAAACATGCCCTCTAGTTAGGTACATCTATTCCTAGGCACGATAGGTTTCCCTATCACTTTTGAGTGCCCTAATTACTCAAGGTAAGGGGATCCAACGTTTCAAAATCTTTCATCCGCCCTTAAAACCTGAGACCATTGATGGCCGGGATGTTTAAGGGAAGTTCTTCACTGAAACTACCGTTGAGGTCCACTTCTGAAGGTCCTCTTCTGTATGTCAACTTCGGACATTGGCATTCTTTTACATTCTTACTGGTTCGGCGCTTCTCGATACCACCCATCCTGTGCAGAGGCATATATTTATATGTGCAAGTTTTCTTGAGTTCGGAATTTCTTTTCCCACTCCTTTACAAACTTTAATTGCATTAAGAATTAAAAAATAAAACGAGCTGTGTTGACAAACTGACAACCAGAAATTTTTTTCCCCATGCAAAATAAACATTTCGTAAGGAAAATGAGCTACAGTGTCCTGCTGTCGATATATCGCCCTCCTCTCGCAACTTGGGAAATGAGAGTTCAAGATAACGTGCGTGGATAAAACACTGCATATTTTATTCTCGTCATTTTTCCCTTCATAAAATCAAGGTCCATCGTCAATGGAACAGTTTATTGGGACCAGTTTTGAGAATTTTGCCTCCGAAGTTATTGTGGCTTCGTTCGTAGCGAAATGAATGGAGTAAAAATTATTAATTTAATCTTATACTTACAGGATCCTGCATAGCGATCTTCATCCAGGACGCTGCGGGTAATTCAATAATTTCAAAACTAAATTCAAAATGTATTTGACATTAATATCGCCAGAAAGTACGATTGCTATTCAAAATAGGGTGGACACAATTGGTTTGGTCATGCATTAAAATATGAAGATAATTTATCTAATATTTTTTCGAAATATTATTCTGTTATATTGACTTGACGTATCTAAACATGAACAAAAAGCCATTCTTAACGGCCTACATTCGTTAAGACTTCAACTGCCCGCTTTCTGATACAAACAATCGAAACAGATCAGTTGCATCTAAAGGAGGCGTATGGATGGGGGGAATCGGGTAAGATAATATTGTTAATACCTCTATACTGGTTCGAGATCGCAACGTATCTTCAGCGGTACTGATTAACAGCAGAGTTCCAAACGTAGCTGCAGAATAGCCATCTTGTGTTCGAGCCACAGTTTTCTTTTCATCATGTATAAGTATGTTTGTTGTCAGTTTCTCAGTTCATGAAATTGTGAATGCGTCAAACTTGGTGTTTATAAATTAATTTCAAGTGTTACATAAATTATATGTTACGTTATTTTTAAAAGAATTAGAGTAAATATCACAAAACAGAATTAAATTATGAAAGAAATATATATTTCTTTCATAATTTAATTGTGTACGGTTGTTTCGGGAAAATATACGATTCACCCAGTCAAAAGATGACGAATGAATCATCGTGCCCAACTTGCTTGTGACTTATTCAATGATTTTCTCTATTAACTATGCCGTTATTAATATGGAAAATACCTTGAAGAGAAAGAGCGACCGAAATGGTTGAAGAGAGTACGAAAGTAAGGCTGTGAATTAGGTGAAGAATGGTGGGGTTATGTTCGAGCATACGTTGGCTATTTAACACATTCCGAAAAGAGATGAAATAACACAATCAAATATTTGCATTATCAGTCAAAATTAAAGCTATCATTTTCGTGTCTTTGCCGAGTTTCTGGGTATTTCACGAATTCATAGATACATCTCAAATGGCTGCAGATTGCATAGATTTCTTTCAATTTCTGCGCACATTAGAAATTAATTAACATCTTCGTATTTCATTTTATTGGCATTTTCAGATAAGTTAATTGTGCTGAAAGTTCTCGGAGATAATATACTTTTGTGTTGAAAACTTTGAATGATTTCGATTGTAATTTTGTGAAGTTCGCAAACAATGGTGTTCATTGTTGAGTGGATTCTTTCGTACTCAGTGAACATTAGTCCCTGTCTTCAATTTTTCTCACCTTGGCTGGTTATCGGCACTGGAGGCGATGTAGGAAGGGATGTAAACGTAGTCTCTACTTGTTGTCGCACATCATTGTTGTTAGTGGTGTTGTTAGAGAGTGATCTTTTACCGCTCTTTTGACTTTCTTCTAAAAATGTCTAAAAATGTAAAATGAAATATTTTCTGATAAAAATGTAATGATTGAAAAATTCTTTCAAAATTGCCATGCTATATGTAATCTTACCTACAATAAAAGATTTAGAGGGCCCAGCTGAAGGTCTCTAGGTAGGTTTAGGGAGCAGGGGAAAAATACCAATGTTCTGGCCCTAGTCTGGTAATTACGAAAGTACCTACCCTCCTTTCTTCTTTCAAATATCCCCATTTTCGTTCCCAAGATTTTCGGGCTTTTTCTTCAAGAAGAATGACTTCTCTCCTAAAATATGATAAAATAATGTAAAAAAACACTAAAACGGAGAGTATTTTAATGGATACTTACATTACACCGTCCTGACGCACTTGATTAATGGATCTGGCGAAACTGTTCCTTGCTGCACACATCTGTGGTAATAAGTTTATTGTTACAGAAATATTCACCAGAGTACTTGCTCTGTAGTTAAAGTTCGTTTTAATACGGTGTTTTAAGAAGGTATTACAGAGTATGTTAGGAGAGTATATTGTTCAATGACCTGAAAGGCGTTTAATCGTTAACGCGTTAATCTATGACGGCAGATTGTTGTCGACAAACGATTCTATAGCAACGGAGAGAACCAATGGCAATCGCGCTAAGGTTCACGAGTAAGAAGCGAGTTCTTTGCTTCCCCGGGAGATAGCGTGGCGGTGCTCGAGTTCGCTTCAGTTCTCTACCAGCAGTGAGTGGAGATCGGCGGAGATTCAACAAAGAACAGCTCCGCAGTTTGTACATAGTCGGCTCTACTGTGTTTTATACAACACCGTATCGATCGCCACTTACTTCGCTACGCGTTCTTTAATTTTTATTCTTTCTGCTTTGAGTTTCCGATATCAGATCCGGCCCGCCGCTAATTATGCAACGAACACGCGTCAGAGCGCTCGAGATAATCGACGATATTACGCTAACGTATGGCGTTGCCGTGCGGCGGCACTCGCGAGAGAACTTATTCGCAGCCGTCACGTTATGCGAGCGCGGGGCACGTGAGCGCGCGGGGCCGCGGGGCGGCGGCGCGCGCTGCATTCTCTATATTTACCGCGGGCGAGCGGACGGCCGGGGGCGGCGGGCGTCCGCCTGGCAGCGGCGGCTCGCGGACTCGGCTCGCAGCAGCCGCCGTCGCCGCATCACGAAGGTGGGTCGGGTGGAGGTAGGCCAGCGCGACGCGATAGCTGTTCGCTCCGCCCTCATCCGGCCGTCCGGTCGGTAGGCTTCGGTACGCCTCAGTCGCCGGCCGGTCATGAACGGGCCGTGACGTCAGGCGTTCAAAATTAGCGCGCCAGCGTCCCCCGCGCGCCCGCGGTGGCGCGGCGCGCAGCGCGCGTTCCGTTCGGCACGGCCGGTCGCGCCGTCTGGCATCGATCAGGCAGGGAATCCTGCGACGGCGGCGGGACCTCGACTCGGCGAGGTCAGCGCGCCCGTCGCGCCCTCGCGCCCGCGGTCGCGCCGCGCGCGCCGGGACCTATCGAAAGTGCGTGAGCGGCGAGGCGGCGGGCGGGCGGGCGCGTGCGCGCGCAGCAGGGGCGGTCGCCGGCTGCTGGCTCACCGCCCCGCGCGCAACCCCTCCGCCGCGCCTGGCGCCGCGCCCCGCGGTAGTGTGAAAACCGCGCCCGCCCCCCCGCGCGGGCCTCGCCCGCCCGCCGAGGCGGGTCCTATGAGCCGTCTCGCTTTCGCGTCTGGCGCTCCCAAAGCGGAATTTTGGATGGCGGCGGAAAAGCTGCACCGCCGGGGAAAGTGCACTGGCCCGACTCACTGAAGTATGTCTAATGCCGGAGAACTCGCGTTGTACTTTTAATTCATTTGCTATCTCACAGAGAGTGGTACCACATTCAACAGAGTAATATTTTATCTTATTAAATGGTCTTTGAACCAATGCTCGATGTGTAACTTATATGCTGCTACAACTTTTTTGTGAGAGAGGATCTCTAGGAGAAAATAATTCCGTGATTAATTTTCTGGTGCTCGCAACTTTTCGTCGGAGAGAAATTTTAACTTCTGTTTCGCCGTCGTTACTTCACCGGCTGAAATCGAAATCAAAATGTTGCTTTTCTTTCACCGAGTGCAGACTTTTCCAGAAACTGTTTCGAGAATTCGATAGAATGTAGGAAGGTACATGCAACGGGAGTGATGATTTACCAGTAGATATTAAAGACTTTAAGACAATATATACGAGCTCAAATGTCAAGAAAAGTCGTTTCAGCGGTAAAACATTTGAGTGTGAAATCATGAACATGTCAAAGAAGAATAGTTTTCTAATTTCTATTATTAATCTAATATAATTCCAATTTCCTTATTTTTGTTGCTCGCGAAAAAATGCGTACGGTTTACTCAATTAGTGTAAAATATAAAAATATAAAAGCCACTACGAAATAATTGCCGTTTAATTGTTTATATTAATATGCCTTGCTCTGTCTCACTACGCTGGAGCATTCGTGAGGAATCCTTACAAAAGAAACTATGTACTTACAGAGGTGTTTCTAGCACGCAGACATAGCACGTGCCTTGGGCACCATTCAAAAGGGGCACAAGTTATTTGAAGTACACTCGCCAAAACAAATGACAACCACCCTAATTTGAAGTATCCTGACAGGGGCGTGAATTCTACGCTTGCTTTGGGCGCCTGAATTCGTAGAGATGCCTCTGCGTTCGTGGTTTGCGAACGATGTGTCGATGGCGTTCAGACAACACGCGTGTTTACCTTAAGGTATTCTGTGAGATGAACGAACGTCTTCTCCAAGAAAGAAGAAAAAATACCAAAATACTCTTTTCAATCCGCATCATCTAACGTTAGAAACTAATCAGTAAACATATTATTTTGAAACTAACTTACTTTCAGGGGAAAAGGCGTTTTATCGTTTAGTTTGTCATCAGTATACGACGAGCAATAATCGGCATTCATCCTTCATTAAGTACCAGTCTACTGAAATAAATATCATACTCGTTGGTTTATGAAAATTGAATAACAATATGAAAATTGTTTTGATTAATTTAGTATGAATGAAATATCTTTTAACACGAAGGCTGCAAAAGTTGGGTCAACATTAAAGTGTCAAGAGAGTTTGGAAATGTCAATATGAATTGTTCGTTAATTAATATAAATTTTAAGACAGGTAACTAAAATCTTGTCATAATTTATTTTGTATTAATCATTTCAAAATTCTGATTATTTGTTTTTACTTTTATCAACATTCCCGTATCACGATAGATGAATTGATGTACAACGCACCCAGGACAAGGTTCGTGTGAACATTCGTGAGAAAGAAGGATCAGATGCCACGATACCTTCTTGGACAACGCGCTAAGGAGGGCAACGCATCCTCAACACTTGTCCATCTGAATCTCTCGTTTGATTCTCTGCTCTGCACGAGCGCTATGTCTTTGTACCGTTCATGGAGAGCGTACCTAAATGCTTTCAGTATCTCATGAGCAATATCTCAGCAACTTCTAATGAAGCTTTGAATGGTCATAAACTGGCGAAATTTTATTCACCGATTATTTTCGATGAATCATTTAGAATTACCAATCTAGCCGAGGGGTGCATTCACGTATTGTCTTGAAAGGAATCCGGAAAGACATGAAGGGGAAATCATTAAATTTTATATTTTTGTTGATTGCATTACAGTATTTAAAATCTCCCCTTTTCGGTACACAGCTCATTAACTGGTAGTAAACCTTCTACATGTTTAAATTTGATTCTACCCTGGGCTTGGGCATTCTCAAGTGCTCCAAATTTTCCTCACCTTCCCTAAAACTTTGATAAATACACTTTAATGAAAAAGAGAAAATAGTTACATATTGGAACCAAACTTCCAACTGCCCCACCTCCTGAACTGCGTTAGAGCAGTACATACCAGGTACCGTACTTGGGTTAATATTTCTTGGCATTCCTTCGGTTGCTAAGCTTTGAGATAAAATATCATATAAAATCAAACAGTCAATTTGCGTTTTCAGAAATGACCAGAATCTCGAAACATTTGATCACCCATGCTCAGAGTATGAAGAATTAAAACTTCAAAATTGTAATAGAAAGTTTAAAAAGTCTATTTGTTTAGAATAGACATAAGAAATACAACTCTGGCCCCCACCTGTTCCCTCGTATGTTTCCTTGAATGTTTATCCGCATGAACCCCCACATGGTTTCTCGCAAGTTCGGACCGTTCCCCCAATGTTTCCCACCTATCGCATTTCCCCCGCATATTACCCGCATTTCCCCTAAATGTTCACCTATAGGTAACCATTGATGGTTACGTCAATATTTACCTGTAGGTGAACTGAATTGTTCTTCACAAGATTTATCTCTTGTTTTCAAAAAATAGTATGTTCAATTAAAAAACAACAACAAAAATCATTAAATATCTAGACTTTTGTGAAGATAGTGACCTTAAAAACAAGAAGGTCACTATCTCATTGTGATTCCGAAAGAACTAGCCCCAATTTATTTTTGTACACCGCAGAGTTCAAGGTGCACCCTTCCTCTTTTTCGCGAATATCTCGGAATCAGGGAGCAAAACGGTATACTGTTTATCAGCATTTTGTAAAAGCCCATAAAAGCTAAATTACCAATTGATGGACAAATAAGCAGTATCTATCAATGTGAGAGATGTTAATGGCTTCGTTAGATATCTAGGAAGACTGGACAAATAGAAACAGTGAAAGAGTTTCGATTTGAACTGAAACATGCAAATGTTTGATTACGTAACTTTTTAAGCAATTTTTCATAATTGATGTTACACTTATATTCTTGTAACCAGCACGTCAATGCTTACAACATAGTTGGTGTCATGCGACGAGGAAGAAATAAGCATAAGTGTTCACATGTGTCGTTTCAAAACAGCCAATTTTTGCTTCTCCGGGACCCCATTTTCCACGTACACGACAGCAAAATTTTATCGTAACTGTAGTCTTCTAGTATCGTACTAAATACAATGTCATTCATTCCATTAACGCATTTAGTCTTTGAGAAATTCTATATCAAAGTTGAAAATTTGTTCCGACGGACGTGGGTAGAGCGATAGGCGTCGGGAGAGGGGCGGGCTCTGCGGGGTGGGGGAGGGGGCGGATGGTGGCGGCCCGGTGTGGGGTGAAGCGTGTCGAAGTGGAGAGCAGGGTTGAGAAATGAAGTGGATTGTTAAGTGCCTCCGAGCACGTCAATTATGATCACTAGTCCCGTAAGCGTAATTCACGCTACAACGCAGGAGCTAAGAGTGTTTTTCCCCCTGTTGATATATGAGATCAAGTGTCGATCTATACGCTGGCTTGCATGGTTTGTCCTCTAGATATCCCCCAGCAGGTCAGCACCCCAGCTGGGAGAAGCTCTAAGTTTCATTCTGGCCCGCCGACATATGTTGTAGTGTAGTGCATGTAAGTGTAAGTGTAAGTATCGGGTTATAGGAGGGCAAGAATGAGGAAGGAAAGATCGCGCACGATCCGTGACCCGTTTGTTAAGGTACTGCTCCTGTATTCGCCGGAGAAACCACGAGAAACTAATGGTCAGAGCAGCCGACTACTAGTGTTGAAGTCAGTGGTTGAATCCGACCCTAGTGTGTAGGCAATGCCGAAAATCAGCCACCGTTGAACCCTAGGGCCTCCCAGTCAGCGATGCTTCAGACGCAACGGCAATGCTGCCTTGTGAGCCCTTCCAGTAGGTGTAGAGGATTGTATCCGGTAGGTGGTGTAATGTTCATTGGAGCGGGACGAAGTGGAGAGTGTCGGAATTGGTGAAGGGGGCGGAATGAGGTGGAGCGCTGCAAGGGGTGTCAGTGTGGAAGGGAGAAGCACTTGAAGAGGGCGGACTGAACGGGGAAAGCGTGGCGCGGATGTAAATAAAATTACTTCCATTTTGTACTTTAGAGAGAATCTTCTCCTTTTACTTCTTCGTGATTATTGTGGTAATTAAATAATAATAATAATAATAATAATAATAATAATAAAGGATAATGTCAGTTTACGTCTGTTAGCATATACTAGTTTGTACTGCTTGTTTGTTGGCAGGAGAAAGCGAACTGTGGATGCACCATGCTTTCAAAGGTTGTTCTTTAAAGCGTAATTTGCGCAATGAATTTTTTGCAAAAAAAAAAAAAATGGTATTTGCGTAGTGAAAGTATGTCGCTCACAGTTACAGAACAGATTTGCTAACGAAACAGTTAAATTCATTTCATTGCTACAGCTAGAGCAATGATGTGAAGACATTTGGCTAAAAGTTGCAGAATATGGGAACTTAATAGCATTTTTTTTTCAAGAAATGGGACTTGTTACTGGGAAATTTGAGTTCGAACCTTTAGAGTTTATATGCTCCAGAATATTTGTAATTTAGAAGTGTCCAATTCGAATACATATACACTAGAGAAGTGATTTTTTAGTAAAGCAATGAGAGTCGTTTGCAAGTACTCAATTACGCATATACGCTACGTAAGAACTATTGCAAGGAAGTAATGAGTTATGAGGAAATTGTAACTTATACATTTATTAGTCAATAACAATAATAATAATGTATGCATTTATTCGACAAAGTATCTCTAATATACTCTATCTAATTTGTACTTCTGTACTGTAATGAAGTGAATCTTTCTCGGCCAATGAAATATTCTAAAGAAACTCATTATTGCAAATATAAGCCTTTTGATTTATTGAATAAATATTTCCGATCTAGCTGTTTGTCACAGTTCACGTAACTATTCGTCGCTCAGTGACCATCTGCAGTCCTGTCACATCCAATGAGTGACAGAGCCCCGTCGACGGAGTTCTTTACTTTGTCAAATCACTGCGCGGGGCTTCTCGGCGTTCATGATTGCATTGTCACTCACGAAGCCAGACACATTGCCTTGGTGTATGGGACAAGTGCAGCGCTCTACTCAACGAAGTTTCCTCTAGTCTGATTATCTGTATTATTCAATTACACTCATAATTTCGTCTTCCAGAACATTTCTCTTTCTTTCTTCCCCTGTTCCAATTAACTTTCTTTCTTGAAATCTCTCCTTTATTTTCATTGTCCATCTCTTCTTTTATTAAAAATTCTTTCTCCTTCTTTCTTTTTTCCTTCGACTAGTTTTTCTTTCTCGTATACGTACGTATATACCTAGTACATCAGAAGCTATGTAATTCTGCGAATAATAGATTTCGAGATTTCTACGGAAATACACATTTTGGGATATCCTTATATCATTTTTTTAATACGTTCGCCCGTCTGCTCGTTCTGTCTGTGTCTGTCTGCCTGCCTGTCCGCCCGTCTGTGACTGACGCTTGCGCCTCTACTATCCATAGAATTCACGTCAAAATGAAAGCCCCATCAATGTGAATTGGGTCAAAGCCCTGCAATTTTGTTTAAAAAATCATTAAATTTTGGGGATACTTCACATGAAGCCTTGAAAACGTTAGGTCCTATTTTCACTGTTAATTCTCAAATTTCAAAATTGCGTAAGTTTGAAATTTTTTGCGTAAGTGTCAAATTTCAGTTCAGCTACTAGAGGTCTTGATAAAATGTGAAAAAAATATATTCTAAGCGCCGATAATTCTAAATGCATTGAGTAACACGACGCTAACGCCGTTTTAATGGGAACCTGGCAAGAGTGGGGCAAAACCGTTCTCTCTGAAAGCTTTAGGCCGAAAACTCTAGGCCTTTAGAAAGAGGGGCATCGCTCCCATGCCCCCCCCCTGGATCCACCATGGCCCACAAACAAGTTCCCGATGTGACTATAAATCAGTTTACATTACTTTAGGGATGAAGAGTCAATGCTGTTTATTGGTAGAGAAAATACCAAAAATATTATTCAAAGAGAATAATCTTGGCTATTCGTTGTGTTTGATTTAAATGCGGATTGGAACGTATGTTTCTGGCAATCAAATTACGGTTACATTTCATTAGCTTCTGTAGATTTTCTTCAAGAAAGACCTAAGATTTCACAATTAATTGCAGTAAACCCAAATGTGTTACCAATACTACCATGCTATACCAAAAATTCTATAAAATATCAAAAAGTAATTTTACTTTAAAAATAAATTTTAAGTTATTTCATTTCATAGTTTTCAATGTTGTAAATACAAAGAGAGTTTTGCCAAGGACGTCTGACTTTTCTGTGCAGAAGGGAGGTCGCCTTTTGGAGGAGGTCACCTTCACGTGACTTTGCCCGCGTGGCACATCTGCCCCCGTCGCCAGGCACAATGTTCTCAAAAGAACTTATTGTCATTGCGTCATCGCGAGGGCGGGCGGGCGGGCGTTTCGGCGCCTGGGAGGCTGTATTGTTGCACGCGCCACCAGAGACGGGCTTCTCGCCATCTGCTTTTCCATCGCTGCCAATTTTCCTTTTCTTCGCCTTTGTCAGCTTGCTCTACTTTCTTTCCCTGCCTCTTTCAGACTTGAAAATAATGTTCAAAGGCAGGCAAGTGATGCATACACTCACAGGCACGCCCACGGGAGGAGAGCTTGTAGAAATCCACCCAAAGGAAATTAATGATCATCCCAGGGGAAAAATTATATTAATTGAAAATAACAATTTTTTAAATGTTAATCCTAATTTTTCTTTATTAGTTATACCTGAAAATGGAGGCATCTATTTTGAAAAATATCTAATCCTGTGCCCCTTTATACTAGAGAGAGTATTACTTCTTCCTGGAAGAAACAAAAGTGAATAGACTGAAAAAAATATATAAAAAATATAGATTAATTGATAATTAAACTGTTCAAATATGATCGTTGTCAGTTTTCTTAACGTAAGATTCTTTTCCAATTTCGCCTGTAAAACCATTTACTGAATATACTTGCAAATAACAGTTGATATAAAGATAAATGCGACGTAAATCTGTGACTTAAGCGTTGATTTATTAAGAATAATAACGCAGTATTCTGTTAATTATTAAAATGTTATAATAAAATATATATTGAATAAATATTATAATCTGAAAAATAGAGTTATTGTATGTTAGAGTATCAGTGCAAGAGACTCAGAATTATTATGCATGTGGATACTATAGTTCTTTCCACTTTGATTGTCAACATATTGCCTCGTTTTAAAAGGCTAAGACCAAAAACATATCACATTAATATACACACGCACTCGACACAAACTGTTGAATAGTATAAATATCCAGAACACTTCCCAAATAATATAGAATCGTTTCGAATGCTGCAACTTGTAAAATTCAGCGAGCTAATAAGTGTTACGCCAAACAAAACAAAACATATATGAATTTAACCGTTACGAGGTACCCATCAATGTCCACTTCACCTGCACGAGCCTCATGTGGCACTTTCCATAAAATCCCTCAGCGTCGCTCATCCACGCCGCTTCGAGCAGTTAGTTACAAGTTGTCAAACGTTTTTCCTTACAACTCCGCTGCTGCGTCGTGGAAATTCTTGCCGCGTGCGGATGCCTGAGACGTTTAGAGGCGCCTCAGCGACGGCCGTCCTTCTCCCCAGCGACGAGGGCGCGCGCCGGCGGAACGAAGGCCACGTCTCCGCGGCGGGCGGGGCAGATGACGTTTCGCTCATTTGCGGGGCTGCAGGCTCCCGCGCCCCGCGTGGCCCTGGCTGCCCTCCAGGCCGGCCGGCCCGCCCTTCCGCGCCTCCTTTTTTCGTTTCATGCAAACGCCTTGCGGCCTCTCTTTATGGCCCTCGCGCGGGGCGCTGAGGGCGGTGGCTGTGGCGGCGGTGGCGGTGGCGGTGAATGTGGCGGTCGGGAGTGGCGGCGGTGAATGTGGCGGTGGCGGTCGCGATCGGGGTGGCGGTGGCGATGGTGAATTTGGCGGTTGCGGTCGGGGTGGCGGTGGCGGCGGCGGCGGCGTTGGGCGAATACAAAACGCCTCCACGCCCGCCTCTCTCTCGCTTGCTTCAGTTGGAGAAAACGCGCTTGTTACCCACCTCAGCTCTCCGCTCAATCTGTGAGAATTTGCGGAGTTCCAACTATTGATTTCCATCCGCTGTACTCCTTTCCGTCGGTCGCTCTTAATTATTCATCCGGATTTATTGATCTTATTTATCAGGATACTCCCGTCGATTCCGAGAAAAAACTTGTGAATATATGTCATGAGGGTAGAGCGCTGGGAAACTAAAGCAGTATGCAAGTCGTCGACTCTAATGATATACTCTATCTACACTAAAAAAAATTGAGGTTTTCTCAACTCCCCGTTTTGGTATGAAGATGACTAGGAATTGATGTTCAGAATTTAGGTTTTTACACGCTCCGATGTGGGAATTCTGAAGGAATTGCAAAGTGTAGGGGATATTAGGTAAGCTGTAAAATGTTCCTTTTAAAATTAATAATAATAATAATAGAGTAACAATAATAATAATAATAATAATAATAATAATAATAATAATGTAAAATTTCCGTTCTCACTGACTCATTTGCAGAAAAATACAATGACTCATAACGATCGAATTACTTAGTGTAGCCGATACATATGATTATTCTGATTCTTTGATCGATGAGCTAGGCAAGTCAATGTTTGAAAGCGTCTGCAGGCAACGCAGTGAAAAGAACGGCAATGGGCCAATCACTTATGAATAACAATTTGCCTATCTCTCAGGCGCAAACTCTGAACGATATCTCGCATCGATATTTTTAACTTGCGCCATAATTATTGTTGCACTTTAACAAACTGCTCTGTTAATAAATATGTTTCTATTATATAAAGAATGGCAAAATATTTGTACCTTTTTACTTCTCGACTGCAGAATTTGAAAAAAAAAAGTTAATGGTGTAGGTAACGGGAAGTCAGGTTGTACACATGAACGAATGTACGCAGGTATAACATAATCATTTCAATTTTATTGTTCTTAATCATTGCTTTGAATCAGACCTTAAAGGTCTAGGGACGAGCGTGTTCTATAAAACCATACATTGCATCTCTTTGGAACGAAACTTGAAGCATCAGTGGAACAAATACAGGGGTTATTCAGAGGACACTCCTCCCAACCATTCTCCCAACCGAGCGGAGCCACTTGGAGACAGCAACCTCCCGCAACTTGGAAGGATAGAAGTGCTGTGATTTGACACATGAGTGGTTACAGAGGTGCAAAGACGCAAGAAAACTGATACTCATTTGAATCTGATCTAGTCTAACCTCGAAGGGATACTGTCAAACATTTGGATGCGCCCTTGAAAGACAGAGAATTCTCGTTCTGTGTAACTGTGAGACGCATGAGTTCCGGGGAATCGAGCCCTTCCCCAAAGGACTCGATTCCTCAGAATACTCTTGTTTCTTTAACAATATGCTGCAACTAAATTTTGTATTTTATATTTTATTAATTTTCAATTTGTACATATACATAACTTAAGGCAAGATGTGATGAGTCTCCCAGAGGTGACTTTTTTACAAAGTAACCAAAATCTGTAACTTAAATTTAGTGTCTTAAACATTCTTAGACTCTTTTTAACAAGACTATTGTCTAAAATATTGCCAAATGATTTAGGCGCCTTTCTGATGATTAAAGCTTCAAATTTTTATAGCTTCTGCTGGTTGTTATTTTTAAATCTATTGTAAAACATAATTCACGGTGCATTAGTTGCAAATCAGAGACGTTTCGCTAACTGAAGCTACACAAAGCACTGAGTCTAAGGCTTACGTTCTGCCACCCACATTGCAATGACGGAGTGCGTCTCGCTCTAACACATGATTAATTGATTGATTGTTAGTGATTCCGGACGCGTCAACTACTAAGGTCATTAAGTGTAATGTAGTGTATGTTTTTTTCCTCCAGAGGTGGCGGTGGTTTCCCCCATTGGATGGCGAGATCCAGCGCCGACCTACCGTCGGCTTTCCCTCAACCAGATATCTTCCACCAGGCACCCCCCCCGGCACAAGCTCTAAATTCCCGACCGCTCTCCCGGCATGTGTCGTAGTCTAGGGGATGCTAGTGTTAGTGTAAGGGATGAGGATAGTACAAGGAACAGGAAGGAAGTGTGCGGCCCGTGGCTCGTTAGGGTACTGCTCTGGCATTCGCCTGGTGTTGATAGGAGAAACCACGTAAAACTAGTGATCAGAGTAGCCAGCCGCTAGAATTCTCCTGCGGACAGCGACTGAATTGGACCTAGCTGTCTAGCTAGTGTCAAATGTCCTGCCACGGTCGGGACTCGTACCTCCCGGTCAGCGGCACAGAAGTGACATCAGTCGATGCCCTGAGCCACCTCTCGCGGTCTTAACCGGAGAGCCCTCAGACCGCATTCCGGCCTCATCGCCAGCGCAGCAGCACGGGGCGGATATGCCCTCGCGCCTCCCTGCACCGCCCAGCCCCGCCCCTCC